CTGATGATGGAGGCAGTATGACCTCTGAAAAGTTGGTAAACATCTACCAGACTACACAGCGCAACAACCCAGAAGACAGAAATCTTGAGACTCACCGCTGTGAAAACTTCAAATATCGTCCTGATGATGGAGGCAGTATGACCTCTGAAACGTTGGTAAACATCGACCAGACTACACAGCGCAACAACCCAGAAGACAGAAATCTTCATAAAAATAATTATCAAAAAATGGAAGAGACAAACAGTCTTCGGTTTTAAGAGTTTGTCTGCTAATCGTCTCAAAAGACAATCAGCAACATCTAAGAAAGTGTCTTTGAAAATACGTTTAGACACATGAAGTAGCAGAGACTTTGAGAAAAATACTTAACGAAAAGCTTCACAACTTATTCACTTCATTAACCGTTGTTACGGTGAGCCAAGGAACACGATACAAACGGGACATGTCGATCGGATGGGAGACATTGGAGTCGTTTTCTGTCGGAATTCCTCTAGGGAAGAGACAGTGTGAGACATCTGAACGTAAATGGGAGGATGATATTAAACTGGCTCTTATTAAATTGGATGTGTGTGTCTGTAGGTGTCTCTACCTACCACCTTAATGGCATCTAGTGGGATATTTTATGTCATCCGCCATTGTTTCGAAGCCCAATTCTCGTCTCCCAAAAACCAAATTTAATAGAAAGTAGATTTTCAGACGGCGTATGCAGACGGACGATCGGCTCATAATTATTCGTTAATTTCGTGCACTGTTTAAAGAGAACACATACGGAATCTTAGCTTAAATTTACGGTTGTAAGATAAAAAACCGAATAGAGGGGAGTTATGAAATTCCTCGCCTTTTGAGGGTACGGAAGGTTCATTACTGTGCTCACAAAATCCTTTCACCTGCCATTATCCTGAACCAGATCAATCCAGTCCACATTCAGCCACCTTAATTCCCTAATACCGCTACGGTGGTCTAGCGGTTAGAACGCTGGCCTTGTAATCCTGGGATCTCGGGTTCGATTCCCGGCGGTGCCCGAATTTATAACTTGTGTTGGGCAAGGCCGTGGTCTAGGCAACACGGAGTTTTCCTCCGGGGGCTTCCCCGGTTTCCCCGTGGCATCCCAACAATTACTCCATTCACACACAGAAGAAGGCAATGGCAAACCACTTCTGGATCATCTGCCAAGAACGTATATGAACAGGTCCCAGTCCGAGAAAAGGATGGAAGGATCCTGTTCATATGGACCTGTCGTCAGACAGAACACTAAATAAAATAATAAAATAAATAATTCCCTAATATTTCCGTAACAGTTTCATACCATTTATGCTTAGTTCTTTCGAGTAGGTTCTTTCCTTCAGGCGTTGTAACCAAACGTTTAAACCAAAGTTGATCTATGACAATGTACAGACCAGCCTCTGGTCGGAGTAAAGCGTCTTGAGCTCTTAAGATTGTTGGTGATCAGAAGATCAAACGCTGCCATCAGCACTAACCTTATCTTGCGAGATGTAGTGACCAAGGCCTGTTTGCAGCTGGGGTATTCCCCACTGATGACGTAATTCTTCCGCATACCGATACTGAGCGATCCATGACGAGAGACTGCACATAAAAATACAGGGTCTTTGCAAAAAAAGAGAAATGCTACAAGAAATTTCGGCACAGTGATCAGCGCCAGTGAAGGAACTCCGTCTGC